TCCAAGATGCACAATGCTGTCAGTACTCTGCCGTATGGATGGACACGGGCTCGGAGACACTGTTCTCTGATCATGGAGTCAGGGACAGACAAGTGATCGTGGCACGGGGATCACTTGGTGTTCAGCTCTCCCAGGCTGAGCCTACCCCAAGCATCCCAGCTCTCAGGAATCAGGCTTTCCCTTGCATAGTTTGGCACCTAGCGTTAGCGACATCATTACTGTCCTAATGTGTATGTATGTTTATCATTTTAAATGCTCCCAGAGCAGGAACCACGTCTATCGCATGATGTTTTTGTTCCCATGCTATAGACTGAAGGTGCACGCCCCACCCAGATTCATATGTTGAAATCCTAACCCACAAGGTGATGGGGCCTGTGGGAGGTGATTAGGTCATGGAGGTGGAGCCCTCATTATGGAATCAGCGCCCTTATAAAAGAGACCTCAGAGAGACCCCTTGCCCCTTCCACCAGTGAGGCCACAGCGAGAAGACAGTCATTTGTGAACCAGGAAGAGGACCCTCACCAGACACCAAATCTGCCAGCACCTTGACCTCAGACTTCTCAGCCTCCAGCACTGGGAGGAATACTGTGTGCTGTCTCGGCCCCCCGTCCACGCAGTTTGTTCAGCTGTCCAAATGGACCGCAACACCGCAGTGTGTGCCGCTGCCCTGCACCCACCAAGTACTCATGCCCAAGGCAAGCACCGTGAAGGGTGATGATGGTGACGTCTGATTGCTGACATTAAGAAATAAGTTAATTAAGCCCTGGCCAGTTTGGCTCAGCAGTTAAAGTATTGGCCCATGAACCAAAGGATCTTGGATTCGATTCCCGGTCAAGGACACATACCTGGGTTGCAGGTCCGATCCCTGGCCCCAGTCGGGGTCTTGCAGGAGGCAACTAATCAATGTGTTTCTCTCACATCCATGTTTCTCTCTCTGTGTCTTCCCCTCCCTTCCTTCCACTCTCTCTATAAAAATTAATGAAAAAAATATCCTTGGGAGAAGATTAACAAAAAAGAAGAAAAGAAAGAAAGAAACAAGTAAATTAAGATGTGAGGGGAGCCCTGGCCAGTTTGGCTCAGCAGTTAGAGCGTTGGCCCGCGGATCAGAGAGACCCGGGTTCGGTTCCCGCTAAGGGCACGTACCTCAGTTGCAGTTTGTCTCTGGTCCCGGTTGGGGTGTGTGAATGGCAACTAGTCAATGTGTCTCTCTCATGTCGATATTTCTCTCTCTCTCTCTCTTCCTCTCTTTCTCCCTCCCACTCTATCTGAAAATAATGCAAAAATGTCCTTGGGTGAGGATAAAAAAAAAAAAAAGATATGGGGGGAGCCCATATCTCACCCAGGAACTCTCCCTGGTCCAGGTCTGGAGTCTACATTGCTGTAACACATCAGCTTCCCACCAAGGGAGACCCCAAAATGTTTGCATTTTCCTTTCGGCTATTTTATTTTCACTGTGGAATTCAAGTTCCTCACTGACAAGAAAAGGGAGGAAGAGGTGGTCCTGATGACCACCCTTTGGCACCACAGTGTTGTCCCAGAGTAGTCATGGATAAGACTGAACCTCCTCTGATCCTTGAACCCCATCGGAGAACCTCTTCACTAAAGTGCGCAACTGAGGACCTCCTCACCGCATGATCACTCAGTCGCAGTTCTCTTGTTCATGAAGTTAGGTCCCATAGTTTACACTGTTCAAAGGTGAATCTGGAGCAGAGCAAGAGCATCAGCCCAGGTAATAAACAAAATGGCTTGAAGAGAAAGGACTTGCACAGCCTCCTTGGGAGACGATGGACAGCTGTGGTCAGAGAACCCAAGGATGGTGTGGAAATATTAGAGGAAAGATCCTGAGAGGATGCTGGTCAGGAATGAATGTTAGATGGTAGGGAGAAAGCCCCACAGATGAAACAGCTTGTGCAGTGGCTGGATTAACCTTCTGAAGCTGAGATGATGCATCAACACAAGGTCCAGTATTGGCTTTTATTTTGACTACTTGGATAAACAGGCAAGTTAAGAAAAGCCCCATGTAAGGTTTTGCAGAGTCATATTTTTATATAATTAGATAATATTTTTTTAATATTGAAAAAGCTGTAAGAGCAATCATGGGTACTCCAATCAGATGTTATTGACCAGGTACTCAGACATGGCCCTGAGTTGCAGGAAATACTTTTGTCATCCAGTTGTAAGGTGTATGAGCTTTCACTGATGAGGAGGTTTTGAAGTCTAAGCATGGTTCAAACAGAACTCCTCCTGTCTTAGTCAGCTAGGGCTGCTAAAACAAGATACCACAAACTAGGTGGCTTAAACAACAGACATTATTTGTCACAGTGCAGGCTGGGAAGTCTAAGATCAAGGTCAGGGGAGATTTGACTATTGATGAGGGTGCTCTTCCTGGTTTGCAGATGGCCCCTTCTCTCTCTCCGGTCTCTTCTAATAAGGGCATTAATCTCCCCATTAAGGGTCTCACTTTCATGACCCAATTAACTCCCAAAGGCCCCACCTCCAAATACCATCATATTGGAGGTTAGGGCTTCAATATATACATTTGGGGGGGTAGACACAATTCAGCCCGTGGCACACCCAGTACAAGGTGACCTCAGCAGGGCACTGAGCAGAAGGCCAGGCAAGCTCTGGCTCACTCTGAACCATTGACTTCCCCGTCATCTTGGTATTTTCTGAAAGGAAACATCGCTGGAGGGCTTTCATCGGGGGTAACCTGAGAAAACTTCCTTTTTACCTAAGGTCTTTGGAAACCCTCAGACTTTTCCACTGTGTTCCTAAGTCCTCTCTCTAGGAGAGCGGCAGCTGATGACTCTATTCTTTCACCAGCTACACTCACCAAATCTCTCCCAGAGGCCAACATGATTTTCCAGACAAGAACCTGGGCAGGCAACAGTGGCCATGCCACAGAGCTGAGAGAGAAAGTATGATGCTTTGTTTCACCAGATCAGCTCCAAACCAACCCGCATGTTTATTCCACACAGGCAATCTGGTACCTAGAAGCTTCAGGATCAAAGGTGATAATGGCCAAAATCCTCCCATTTCCACGTGGAACAACTCAGGCAATGTTTTCAGCAGACTGAGAAACCAGGTACCACCTTCCTTTCTGCAACTTCCAGGATGTCATCATAAATCCCGTTCAAACGCCAAGCCAGGAGAAAAGCCTTCCTTCATCATTCTGGACAGCACTGCTTGTTAGAAACTCTCCTCCACTTTGAATGAAAATCTGTCTCTTTCCAAAATCCACCCATTTGTCTGTTTCTACCCTTGGAGGCCACATTGAATATATCTGCACAGCCATTCAGACCAGAAGAGAACTTCCCTCCCCCAGCGAGCCTTCTCTCTCCAAGAGATGGCGCCCTTCCAGGCCCTCCGGGCCTCCAGAGACCTGCTCCTGGGTCCCCACCAGCCTGACTCTCTCCTCTAGATCCTCTTCTGTCGCCTGAAAGTTCCTGTTTCCCAGAGAAGTTGTAATACCATAGCCCAGCTTTCCTGCTGGGCCAAAATACTTTCCAAAAATTCTGGAAATTAGTTATGGTCGTGCCTGCTCAGCCCACAAAACCCAGATCCCAATCTCTCACTGAGCAGCCCAAGAACATGTTCCAATCATCCTCTGGCTGGATAGCATCCCTGGGATTAATCACGCGTTTCCCTCCTTGTTGCTGTTGGCTGCCTTCCAGGTCAGTCGTTCTCGGGACAGACGCCACCCCTAATGAAGCCCTTTGCCCTGAGTGTGGGAACCCAAGGGCGAGGGCAGCACTGAACACCCCATCACAGGGCCCAGGTAACTCTCTTCACTTGACAGAAACAGAGACCAGACCCCGGAGGTCCTAAGCATCTGCCTCAGGACTGCGAGTGAAGGGTCACGTGCAAGGGCTTAGCCTCCAGATTCCTTCGCTAGAGCGAACGCGAGGACCCCACCCTCAGCACTCCACGCCAGCTCTGCCTGGCCGGCAGCCTTGCTCTGACCAGGCTCTCGCATGCCACACCCACACTTCCTCTGTGTGTGCCTCCTCTGGATGACCACGGCACTTGTGTCCACATACAGTCCCTGTGGCAGGGCTCTGTCGGTGTGCCCCTGCCTTACCCCTTAGACTGGGCATTCCTTAAAGGAAGCCCCTGGGTCTCCCTTAGCTGTGTCTCCAATCCTAGCATGGAACCTGGCACAAGGTAGGCACTCATGTAGGGCAAGCAAGGTTGAAATAAATGGATCCCTTGGCTTATTTTGTCAAACCCTACATACCTCCATCGAGAAGGGTGGGCATTGAGCAACCCTCCTGTTGGGTGGGAGTCAGGAGAGACCACCACAGCCTCCATCCCTTCACTATCTTCATCATGATGGATGACCTATGGGCGGTGAACAGGGCTGCTCAAAGCATGGGGCCCTCCATCTGATCCCTCGCTACATCCATGCTCTGCTTCCTCTTGGCTAGAGGATGTGCTCCTAACTCCAGCCCTTCACCACCAACCAGTCCCACAGACAGAAACTGGGGAGAGGAGCCCACCTGAACTGGGGCAAACCCATCCCACCCCCAGGAATAGCAAAAGGGCAGCAGGCTGACCATGACCCTGATTAGGCTCAGCAGCAAAGTCTCTCATGACTACGTTCATCACGTCTCAGGACAAGGGGCCCAGCCTGCTCTGTGCCAACCGCAGCACAGAGCTCCAGGGAGGCCCAGTGTCATGAGTGTCAGACAACAATTCAGGGAAAGTCAGAAGACACTCGGAGCAACCGGGTCTCTGTTCCTGGACTCAGAGATTTCCCAAGCCCAAAGAGCCCCTGCCAACAACTCATCCCAAAGGAAACAGGCGATGCTGCTAACAGTGTGCCTGGCCGGAAAGACCAGCCAACTTCCCTTTTGTGGTCTCCATGGAGAGAAGGGCAGTACTCAGGCTCTGTGGGGATGAAGGGCAGAAGCTCCAGCTCTCCAGTTCCTCTCTGCTCGCACTTCCCAAGTAGCTCCTTCCACATTCTTAACGGCCAGGACAGAAGAGGATGCTCTCACCTGCTAAGATGAAGATGCCCACGAGAATCAGGAAGACCAGCAGGTAGAGCCCGAGGACAGCATGCTTCAGGGCCGACAGGGAGCCCAGCTGGGTGCAGCAGCCGCCCGTCCGTCGTTTGTGGCATGGGCCTAAACCATAAGGGTAAGAAGAGGAGGAAAAGGAAAAAGACACGTGAAAACCTCATAAGCTCTCTCTCCTTGGTCCCACTTCTCCCTGGTGCACGGAGATGTTCGTACAAGCCGCTCATACATCTGTGACACCGCTGCACCGATTAGGAGCTTTTCAGAACCATCACAAGCTTTTCAGCTTCTAGCTTTCTCCCCACCCTCTGCACTTTTATACAGTTGTATTATTTTTTTAAATTACAGCTTACATTCAATACTGTTTTGTATTCGTTTCAGGTGTACAGCATAGTGGTCAGACAATCGTACACTTCACAAAGCGCTCCCCAATATCTCCAGTGCCCACCTGGCACCGTGCGTAGTTATTACAACATTATTGACTATGTTCCCTATGCCGCACTTTACATCCCTGTGACTACTCTGTAACTACCAATTTGTACTTCTTTTTTTTTTTTTTATCCTCACCTGAGGACATTTTTCCATTTTTTGTTCAGATAGAGCAGGAGGGAGAGAGAGGAAGAGAGAGAGAGAAAGAAACATCGTTGTGAAGGGACACATCGAGTGGCTGCCACCCGCATGACCAACCAGGGCCGGGGACAAACTGCAACCAAGGTACATGCCCTTAGCGGGAACCGAACCCGGGTCTCTCTGTACCGCAGGCCGACACTCTAACCGCTGAGCCAAACCGGCCAGGGCCCAATTTGTACTTCTTAATCTCTTCACCTCTTTCACCCCGTCCTTCAACACCCCCCGGCTCTGGTGACCATCAGTCTGCTCTATGTATCTATGAGTCTGTTTCCGTTTGGTTTGCTGCCTTATTTTGTCCGTTAGAGTCCCGTGTAAGTGAAATCATATGGCCACCCTCTGCGCTCTTGAACAAGACAGATAGGCATGTTCACCCTCGCAGCACCCCTCCTGGGGGCATTCCAAGTAGCAGAGAAAGCTCAGATAGGCTGGAATATGTGTCCCTTACAAAACATCATTGTCCCTTGTGATCAGGAGAATATGGAGAGAATTTAAACAGGAGTTGCAAACTCCAACTTCTGCAGTGGCCAGGAAGGGATGGAATGAGCCAAGTGGGCCAGTTTGGCCCAGGGAAACCAACAGCCCATGGCCCCGTCTGCAAGAGGCTGCAGTGTAGGGATGAGGGTTGGCTATTGCCAGATTTTCAAGACAAGCCAGAAATGATTTAGAGAAATCTCCCTGTTTTAAAGTGTTAACAGCTAATTTAAAACAACAACAAACAAGACAAAAAAGCAAAAGAACACTAGGGAGTATAAACCAAACACATCAACATGCTGGATCTGACCACTGGTTTGCAACCTTGGGTTTAGATTTACAAGAAAACATAGTAACTTCATTCTGTGAAACTACACAAGGCTCCCCAGCTGCTGGCCCCCATGGAACAGCAAAATGTCAGCGCTCTACTGGATCTTACATATAGTTCAGTCCAAGCCCTTAAGCAGTACAGATGGAGGATGTTAGATGTTAGGGGTAAACTGTAGGTGAGACCCAGGTGCTCTGACTTCTGGCCATCTCTCTGCTGGACTTCTTTGAGTCGCCCGTCTCTGAGCCAGGCGGAGGCCAGGACGCTCACTTCACCTGCTATGTGACTGACAGTGGGAAGGAAGGAATGGATGCTCACCCACCTTGGTCCCCAGCAGGGCAGGGCAGAAGCATTGGAGGGTGTTTTTCAAAATATGCATGACCTTATTATGCTTATTCTCAAAGTTAACACCTGGAGTGTGTTGCACCTGGGGGACGGTGTGGGAACAGAGAAAGGTTGACATGCAGATGTTGAAATAACTGATGTTCAGAAGATGTTTTTAAGCATGGTGTGATGTTTATAATTCGTTGGCAACTCTGGGTCTTCAAGGGCAGTACTTGGTGGGCTACTTATTATCTCTGAGGTGTCACTAGCACCTCTGTGGCCTTCAGGAGGTTTGGTGACCATGCAGGACATGGTGGTGACTACATTGGAGCCCTGAATCCCCAGAGGTATTAAGTGAGGAACATTTTCCCACTAATTCACCCCATTTTATTGAAAACACTGCTGTTAAAACAACTAAGTGGAAAACTATCACATGATATTTCCATAAAACATTGAGTATGATTTGGAGCAAGTGAAGAGATACAAATTCTCGTCAACCCTTAAAATATGAACAGTTTTTGAAGAGTTAACTGGATTTTCCACTAAGACTTGCACAGAGTACATCTTTCTATCTCACTCTAAATCTTCACGGCCAGAATTTTTCATCCCTTTCCACACACTAGGATCTATACAACCTGGTTTGCTCCTAAATATGTAGGCTTCTTGTATCATTTCATCTTTTTTTTGTTATGAGAGATGCTGGCTGTCTGGTTGCAACATATTAAAGTCTGTTTCCTTTGAGAGTCGGAATGGCAGGCATGACATTGAATAGTACACAACTATGAGTTACCATGGTCATGATGGCTGTCCCAGCTCTCCTGCCCCAACCCAGCTTCCCCGCTGGATGATGATGAGAATGATGGCAGAGCAACTGCTGGGATGGGTCGGAAGATACCCATGCTGAAATGTATTATTCGTATGTTTTCCCCATCGGTCTGAGCTTCTCCATTCATTGGCTTTCTTTGACCCTCTCCTTACTTCCTTGGGAGATTTAATGAAGTTAAACTAAATTCCGCTAACCGTTCCAGTTCCAGAGGAATCTTGTTTTTCTGGTTCGATATAACAAGAACTCATTCTCTCTCTCAAAAAATGTCGAAATGCTTCTTTGCATGGTACATTTTTACGAAGGCACAAGGCACTGTAATTTGCCTGAATCTGAGGCAGTCCATTTAGTAAATTGAATGTTAATAAGGGTTAAGTGCAAACAATATACATTCACAGCGTGACTACATCACAGTTTATATAGTGCCTGATGAGTGCTCATTGTCATTTCGCTTGAAATTTCTTACCTTGTGGAGGAAAACAAAAAAGTAAGGCCCTCTTCCTTCCTCTAAGAATAGAAGCCAGTCACTAGAGGAAGGTCTCTTTATTTTTCTTTAATCCCACTAATTAGAATACCATGCTTGTATTCGAAGTCTACACTGACTTCCAATCTTGGCAGAACAGGAAGAGGGAAATCACACAGCCCACAACACTGCTAACTCGAATCTTGCCTGCGTCCTCTGCATGTGGGTTGCCAGCTCACTGTGAGAGTGGAGCAAACTGCAACTCTAGGTTTATTCCCTCCTAAAAAGAGCCCTGGCTGGTTTTGCTCAGTGGTTAGAGCATTGGCCTTGGACCAGAGAGTCCCGAGTTTGGTTCCGGTCAAGGGCATGTACCTCGATTGTGGTTCGTCCCCAACCCTGAAGTCAGGGTCCTACGGGAGGCAACCAGTCAATGTCTTTCTCTCATACCAATATTTCTCTCTTCCTCTCTCTCTCCCTCCCATCCCCTCACTCTATCTGAAGATAAATACAAAAATATTCTCAGGTGAGGATTAAAAAATAAAAGAGCACTTCCCTTCCCCTCTACCTGAGGCTTCAGTTTAATAGAAAGTACCCTCTGGTGACTGGTCCCTTCATCAACTAACACACACGACTTAGACCTTCCTCTGGGAGAGCTTAGTTCTTTTAGCAAGACTCGGTTACTTTGTCGTACATTATACAAAATCTATTTTAAATAGGACATAATAATAATATGCCTGGCCGGTGTGGCTCAGTGGTTGACCACTGACCCATGCACCAAGAGCTCACTGGTTCGATTCCCGGTCAGGGCACATGCCCAGGTTGTGGGCCCAATCCCCAGTGGGGGGCATGCAGGAGGCGGACAATCGATGTTATGTCTCATTGATGTTTCTATCTCTTTCTCCCTCTCCCTTCCTCTTTCTAAAAATCAATAAAGAAAAAAAAATTAAATAGGACATAATAAGGGTTTCAAATGGAGATTTTCCACAAATCTCTAGACAAGCAAAACATACAAGGTTTTGGTAAGATGGCTAGAGAACAAGACTGTAAAGGAAAGAAGATAATTGAAGAGAAAGACAAGTTACTAAGTCTGCACAAAACAGAGCTATTGGGTCTTTAATTTAACATGGCAGCAGCATGTTAGCTGGGTAAACCATTCACATTATTTAAGCTGAGTGGAAGACAAAAAACACTCCAAAATGATACCATCAGTAAAGCCAGGGCAAAAGGTGTGCTCACTTGTTTTTTTGTTTTTAAAAAGAAAAAAGTTACAGAAATGAGCTCTAAAGCTATGAAAACACATGGAGGAAACTTAAATACATATTGCTAAGTAAAAGAAGTCAATCAGAAAAGGTTAGATAGTGTTCAAGTCCAACTATATGACATAGTGGAAGAGGCAAGACTGTGAAGGCAGCAATAAGACAGTGGTTGCCAGAGGTTGGGAGGGGGAGGGATAAACAGGTGGAGCACAGAGGACTTCAGTATAGTGAAATTATTCTGTATGATACTCTAACAAGGCATAGATGTCATTATACATTTGTCCAAACCCGTACCATATCCAACACCATGAGAGACTCCTTATGTAAACTATGGACTTTGCATGATAATGACATGTCAGTGTAGGTTCCTAAATTGTAACAAATATATTACTGTTGCCCAGCCAGTGTGGCTCAGTGGATTGACCGTCGTCCCATGGACTGAGAGGTCCTGGTTTGATTCCCAGTCAGGGTACATGCCAGGTTTCTGGCTCGTTCCCCAGTGTGGGACATCCAAGGGGCAGCTGATGGATGTTTCTCTCTCACATTGGTGTTTCTATCTCTGTAAAAAAATCGATAAAAATATATTTTTAAAAATATCACTGTGTTGAAATATGTTGATAGTGGGGGAGGCTGTGTGTGCGGCGGGGCATGGGGTATCTGGGGACTTCCTGCACTTTCTACCGATTTTGACGTAAACCTAAAACTGCCTTAAAAATAAAGTCTATTTGTTTTAAAGTAGAGAATTTGATCTCTATGGATTGTTAGTCTAATACTTTAACACGTGTTCATTGAACACCCACCACCTATTGCCCT